TTTGAGTCAATGCATTCGGAAAACATGACAGTTGTCGTTCTAAAACGAGTCAGGGGATCATTGATCACGCGATAGCCATTTGCTGTCCTCCAATAGTATGCATTCAATCAAAAAGGACATGCTAAACACATTTGCCCCTCCCTAATACCATATGGTCGCGTCTGTGTGTGTATAACTGCTAGAAATTGCCGACAAACTTTCTTGTCGTGATCTGTTTATCGCGACTGGTAAGTGAACTTATTGAATTAGGCCATGGGACTCCTTAAGCAACCACGCGGTTGATAGTTTTGGCCTGGATGCCGCCAAGCCCTACTGTAAGCACGTGTCATGAGCATTGCAGCAAGCGTCTCTGTGTGTGTGCCTCGTTAGATCAATTGACCTGGCCATACCACACTCTCCGATGGTCAGTTGAGGTCACGTGTTCGACAATTTTACGTCACAAATTCACTCCAACCCGCATAAGCAAGGCTCGCCTGAGTCCGGACCTCTTTTTGCTTCACAAAGCCTAAACTGAAAAAAAGCAGGCAGAAGCAGATACCGGTAAGTATGTTTAAAGAGACTTTGTGGTTACGCAGACAACCGGACGGACCGCGATAGCGCAATGCTTCGGACTGTTATCACATCATGGCATGAGGCCGACTGAGCTGTTCATGCTAAACTTCCTCAAAGAAATTAGCCAGTTTGGAAGTTAACCGGACTGTTCGACCGTCGCTCTCAACAATGTCCACCACGAGCCTCATCTGGCTGAACCAACGTGCTGACTGCGGCTGGATTACAGTAAAAGTAGACTCGCCGGATCTACCCCATTCTCTGCTCAATCCCTCACCCGAACCCAGTGTCAAGACAAGAGTCGAGAAGATCAGAGATGGTGGAGGGCGCAGGCAGCTGGCGCAACCACTACTCAACACGCGTACCAACAGTACGCCTCGCTACGTAGGCTCCCATCTGGGAGCGGCATAAAGGCCACATTACAAAGGAGCCATTGTGCCTGACTCTCAGCCCGCAGTAAACCACTTCACACAACAAGATACACACTGGACCGACTACAGTGTCCAAGTTATCCCATCAACTGACAACCCTCCAAACCACGGTTTTTAGCGCACCGCGATAGCTTCAAGCGCATCAGGTTGTTTATAGTGAAGAAAGAAATTCGCTGAGGGTCGACCTAACTCTCTTCCCCACCGCCAGCAACAAGCCACCGCCTGGTCGCCTGAGATGGGAAGTTAACATACACAAACCTAATGAGAATTAGGTAAACAGCACTCAATGGATTATGATTTGTGGGCTTTATTCGGCAGGGGAGGATTGGCGGACCGTGATCCGCGGCTGGACTCCCTTTGGGGAAGTTGGGTAGAAAAGTGCCTTCCCGTTAGCTATGCAATGAGTGATCGGCCTTGAGTAGAAAAGGTCGAACTTCATCCTGTTGGCCCGACCATTGTTGGGACGGTAGCTCCAATACCATGTGTTTCGTCCCTTGACTTCTCCTACTGTATCCAGCAGCCACGCGTACGCCAACACCAGTGATAACAACTATCAAGGTGGTACGGTACTATTAGGCAATAATAGTACCGGATAATGTGTA